ATAATGGCAATGAAGGTACATGAAGGGCCAAATGAAGGGCCAAAATCCCTATCCTACCCTGGGAAAGCATTTTAAGAAAGCATTTTCACTATCCATGGGCAAGGCTTACTGGTCTCCTGCCATAAAACAGATTAAGTCTGAGCTGATGATAGTCCCAGATATGCCAGGCCTCCTGAAGAGAAAATGCAGGAGAAGGCATGTTCTGTTTCCATTAGGCTGGCAAGAACAAGAGTGAATAATCCTGTACAGGGCTGTGCTGCTTCTGGTACCCAAACCAGTTCACTTCCAGCCAGTGTGGCTCCCTCTGCCTTCTTCTGCCACTGATTGTCCTTTTGGGTCCTCCTTAAATGAACAAGGAAATCAGTCTCGAGGTTCTCAATCCAGATTTTCTTTCCACAAGGTGAAAAAATAGAGCTGTTGAGGTCAGGTAGGCTGCATTTATTTTTCTATTTTCTATTTTATTTTACTGAAAAAGGGCTAGCACAGGGTGGGGGCTATTCTACAAGCAGAGGATGGAGGCAATGGGTGCCTGTCACAGGGCAGCACCAGCCCTGCAGCCCTGGTGGGGTTTTGTGCCATCAGAGGGAAGCCAGCGGGGTCTTGTTCCCATTCACCTTTAGGAAAAAAGGTTTAATCACCCCCATTTTTTTTTGCCAGCTGAGCCGACAGAAAATTGGGAAGGGAAACAGGAGACAACCAGCTTTTGGGAGTGGGAGGGCAGAGGGGCTGCCAGGCCTTGCTCTTTGTTTCTATTTCTGTTTTAAGTTCTGTTTTGAAATAAAACACATTATTACACTTCTGCAAACTGTGCATTTTTCTAAGCTGGCCCAGAAACACAGCCTGTGATCTCATGGCAGCAAAGTCTGGGGGCACAAGTAACTATACAAAGGCAAAAGAAGATAGGATGTGGTCTCAGCAGCTCCTTGTGCTGGCAGGAATAAATCTCTGCATAAAAGCAAAGCTAGGCAAACATCCATCTGATAGCCTTTCCAAACAGCAGCTTGACTCAGTCACAGATCTCTTTTTCAAGCTAAGCTCCTTTGTTTCAGCCCTACTACTGGTTGTTTTTCAGATCGACTATTTGCTGCAGGAATTTTGCTTTTAATTTCCCAGGCAGCTGGAGCTTATTAAATATCCTTTTCCAGGGCAGTATTTTATATCAGTACCCGATAATGGCTCACCTGTAAACACCCTCTCTAACGAGCACCTTTGGGCGCCCCGGCTGTGCTTGGCATGGGGGGATCCGGGTAACAAGTTTAAACTCCAGCTTTCTTCAGTGTGTTTTTCCCACCTTCCTAATCTCTCCTGACATAATGTTGAAAGTTATTACTTCGCTGCATAAAGAAAACCATCTGTCAATTATTCACCTGCTTACATGTGGGACCAGGTACCCAGAAGCTGTTAGTGCAAGGCAAGGCAACTGCTGCCCAGCTTGTGAGAAAGCAAAAGTCCACTTTTAGTCCTCTCATTCATCTGCCTAAGGTTAGTCAGTAAAACAATCTGTTCTCCCTCAGAGAACAGCTGAGACTCCTCCAAATACTAATTTTGACATCCGAGTCACAGCTGAGGAGCCTTTCAACTTCTTTTGAGAGCATTTGGAAGATGAGAGTTTTAGCAGCTATAAATAAGTTTTTAAGTGCACAACTTGCTGAAGGAGATGTATGGAGGTTGTTTTTGCTCATCTGTAAAGTGGATCCTCATGTTGTGCAGTAAAAATGCAACACCCAAGCTCCAGACAGCACCCAGAGTGCTCTTGTTGTCAGAAATGACAAAATTTACTGCTTCTCCAGTTTCCCTGTCATGGAAACTGGACTTTTCAGAAGCACTTGGTGTCTGCTGGAGCCTGGTGCTGTTGTCACTACCAGTTTAACAACAATTTCAGCTGAGCTAGCCTCTGAATAGAGGGCTTTGGCTATGTGTGCCTGGACTAAAATGCCCTTTTTTTTTGCCTTACATCCTGCAAATAACAGGAAATTGTAGCAAAGGTTTTGTGAGACTGCTTGAAAAGACCATCTGGGAAAAAAGTCACTCTTGAAGAGACTCATGACCTGTAGGCAGACTTTTGCTAATGTTACTCCACAGTAGATATTTTCTGCTGTGGTTGGCAGAATCATTTGAGGTCTATGAATTTTCTTATTGGCCTCTCTGGAGCTTAAAAGGAGAAAAACGGGACTTCTTGTTTTGGCCTTGTGTGCTTGAATTTGCTGTGGCATAGTCTTCAGTGGACACTGCCCTCCTGGGTCCCTAGACTTAGGAAAATCCTGAAAGTCAGCATTTAAGAGTATCTTTGCTTAAAATTGAAAGATATCTTTTGGTAAACTAAGGTTTTGCCATTTAAAATTGGGCTCGTGTTGTTAGTGTTTTTACTGTTCTTAAAATCTCTTTTTCTTCTGGTGATCTCCAAGGAGAGGCTGGGAGTTCTGAAACAGAGTTGTCTAGATGGGTCTTCACTGACATCCTGAATCCAAAGTGGGTAAAGCTGGTTGAGTTGGTGGGGGTGCCTCAGCCGATATCTACTAAAAGAAAAAAAAACCCTAATTGCCAAGGAATTTATGCTGTGTACTAGCAGCAATATTGCCAGACCTGGGGAAGGTTAAAATACTTGCTAATAGGTAATACCAGGCATATGTTACTCACTTCCCTGTAGAAGGACTGAAAGTTTCAGGAAGATGTTTTTCCTCCAAGTCTCCGAACTGGATGGAATAATAGAACAGTTTCCTTAAATTGTGCACTCAAAAATCATAGCGGTTATAACTTGAACTCCCAGAATAACATGCTAAAGATTTTGTAGAAGATAAACTTGGATTACATTTGCTGTAAATAGCCAGCGTTCATGGAGCAGTGTATCAGCTACTGGAATAACTGTGCCTTAGCTTTGCAGATGATCTGCCATTTGTGGGTGCTCCATCTTTTCAAGAATAAAACGTAGAGGAAAACAAAGCACACTCAGTGTTGGTTACAGTGAGATCAGTCAGGCCAGTTATGAGTATTTCCAGAAATCCCAGGCAATGGATGCTAAACTGCATGTTGTGCTGGCTGGATAGGAAAAATGTGGAATCTATAGAAGCCAGAAGCAAAATGGCCAGATTAAGGCAGCATTATCAGCAGCTGTTTTTTGGTCTTAAATAGAAAGTGCTTTTTAAGGAGGTCTGTTGGGAATATTCCCACAACTAAGTGAGCCCACAGCAGCATGCTGCTGATGACTAAGTAAATGGAGATGGAGCAGAGTTGAATGGTTCCCAAAGGAGTTACCATATTTCTTTCCAGGATTTCTTGGACAGGAGGATATGTCTGAGCTGTTTGTGATGCCTTCATAATAAGTATGGTCCTTGTGAGACCTGGTGTGGACACACTGCTCCAGCGTTTTGGCGTGTGCAGTATGTCCAAGGCACTATAAAGCACCTCGGGCTGTCCCTGCACCCAGCCCACAGGGCCAGCCCTGGCACCTGGTCAGCCCTGCTGTGAAAAGCAGCATGGGGCTGGCTCTGTTTGGGCCAGCTCTTGTCCTCCCAGACAATGCACGGGTATGGAAACACTTCTGTGTTGGGAGGTGCAAAAACATGAATGGGAAGAGATCTGGGCCTGTGTTTTATGTTAAAAACAGGATCCCTAGGCACAGGCTGTAGAGCTGAGCTTGGATGCCTTTTGCTACTTTACAGGGGGCCTGTCTGAGATGTGCACAGGGGGATGTCCCAGGGAGTTGTACAAAATCTCCAGATTTCCCAAGACAGAGATGGAAAACTGGAAAAATTCACATAAAGGGTATTTCAGGATTTGTATCTTCCTCTTAGCAATGTTTGGACAATTTTATCAGCATCCAGTGTTTCTGTTGCATACAAGATGCTCACAGTCATTGTAGCTGTGAAGAAATCACTGCTTTGCTAAAACTTCAGCATAAACTCAATTTACAGCTCACAGTCCAAGGATGCTCAGACCTAGCCATAGATGATTGTGTGTTCTAGATCTTCCTCTCTTTAGTTCTTTAAGCCACCTCTTCTATTCAGGACATGCTTTTTCTAAACACATTTCCTTGATAGTTTACAGTTTCTCTTTCAGAATACTTTGCTTTTACCTGCAGTAGGAGAAGTCTGACAGCACAGAGGACAACTGTCAGGGGAACACATGCTGCAGATGCCATTAGAGGCAAGTCAGCCCTTTCAAAGACATTTTAAAAATATCATCTCCACAGCCGGTGTGGCCATTTGTTAAAGACAAATGGCATTTGGGGAGCCTGGAAACCAGGATCAGCCGTTAGGTGGATCTGAAATATGTGTCATCTGTTTAGTGTTGTATCCCCTTATGCGCTGCCTTTTCTCAGAAGGCCGGTCCTGGCAAGGCTGGGGAGATCAGAGGGAAACAGGAGACCCATCTGCAACCTGGTGGTGAGCCAGTCACCAACAGATGAGTTCTGCTGAGGGTGAGAGCCACGGGCTGAGTGCATCTGTGGCAGTGACAGCACCAGTGCCACAGCCATGGCAAGGACCAGCTGATGTGACCTCTGGGGAGGGCACCTTCCTACAGGCAGAAAAAGAAGGGTGGGATTGTTGGGTGAGTCACTCTGGAGTACTTGGCATGGGTATGAAATCAGTAGGCTCAGCTTGGCCCTGTGGTTTCCTTTCTTTCTGGGCAGGGATCTGCACAAGCCAGAGGAGCTGCTGGGTGGACGGTATTTGCAACCGCTTTATTTTCCCTGGGCTAAAAATACTCTGCAAACTTGGGTTTTATTTTCATTCCCAACAGCTGAGCCCCGGTCTGGAGGGAATGAATGTGTTATCCCACTGTGAAAACATCTAAACAGGTGGAAAGGACAAGGGAGCGTAGAAAGAGAGGGTGGAGAGTCTGGTTTTAGACAGAAATACTGTTTCCTTTCTAAAAACAGACTGAAAGTCCTGTAGGTAAATTTAAAACTAAAACTTCTATTCACCTTGTAATCTATTTTCTTGTGTGAAAGAGCCTTGTGTTGGAAAACACCAAGAGGAAAACGGTGATGGTGACCCTGTCAGAGGAAAGAGAAAACTGTGGGCACTGTGCTGCTCTTTCAGTCAGACTCAAACATTCTGCCAATAAACCTCATTTTTCACCTGTACATTCTGTTATGCCAGCTGGACTCTTCCATTCAGCTTTACCAAAAAGCTTTATTTTATCTTCTGAGAAAGCTCTTTATGAAAACTATCCTAGCTCAGAGACAGCCCTGCTGAGGCATCCCACTGCTGCCTGGTGGTGCTGTTTCTGTAGCCACCCCTGTCCCTCAGCACAGAAAAGGCTATCAAACAGGTTGAATTGTGCTAAGTGTTACATTTCCCTTTTTTTTCAGGATGGAAATATTTTCCACTAAGAAGTGTGATCCTGCCTGGTAAGACTCCCTTCATCCAAATCCTTTCTGGATTGAAAGTAAGTCTGCAAAGGCAAGGGCTAATGCACTAATCCATTCTGGTACTGTATGTCTTTATAGGAGCTTTTTAGAAGAGAAAAACAAGAATAAGAGTCCAGAGACTTGTGCTGTACAGAATGTAATCAATAAAGTTATTCAAAGTTTTACACAAAAGCACTCACATGGGTCATTAGGGCAGAAACTTTAATCCACTGAGGTTTAGAAATGAGGAATTTCTTAAGTAGCACCTGAGATTATTTTTTTCTTCCACAAGTCTTTATGGCTTTGTGGATTGTAAATCCTGTGAAAACACATTTTTTTTTTTCCCAAATAAATATTGTGGAGGAAAAATAAAAAGAGGAAGGATTGTGGGACATGATGCTCTTGTGGTAACTTCTGCCACTGTTCTAATTTGTGTGACCTCTTTGGTCCAAAGCAGAGGGAAGTCTGGGAGGTGGCCTAGTCTGTGGGAACTATGGGATAAAAGAATAAATGAAAAGGCACATCTAGCTGCTACACTTTACTCAGATAAAGCTATTGTACAAATCAGCTGTGTATATTGCACGTGTTTTATTTGCAGTGTTGTTGGCATCAGACTGCAAGCACATTGCGGTTGTCTGTGTTAGGCCTCCACAGCAGGTCTGGTGGAGATGTGAGTGTTCTCCCCCTCCACCAGGAGATCTGGGGCCTTTACAGTGGAAATTTAGGAATCCTGCTGTTGCTGGATGAGTCTGGTTGCATTACCCAGAGGTGCCTTGAACAGCCACATAACTACAGACTTGAGTGCTTGTTAGTTTTATGGTTTTGTGCGTAAGACTAAGAATAAATTCATTTCAGGGCTGTCAGAGGCTCACGGTTGGGAATAGCTGATTTAGGCTTGTTTGGGGGGGACCATGTCTGCTTGAGGCTAAAGGAGAAAATGTGGGAGAGCTCCTCAGAGATTTCTTCTGCTCTGTATAAGCCACTGGAACAAAAGGTAAGTGGAACTTGTTATGATTCATTCAGATTCCACAACATTGATGGCCATTACAATGGACTCAATAGGAGAAAAAAAAAAAAAAAAAAAAAAGCACAGCCAGAAGAACAGGTTGGGTCACCACCAGCAGAAAGATTTTTACTTCAATAGTCACAGTTCAATACTGAAAATATTGTGATGGTGTTCCAGAGAGCACCCATTAATTGGAAACGCAGTTTGGCCAAAGTCAAACAAACCAGAAGCAAGTGCCTGAGAGGGCAGAATAGAGAAAGATGACTGAAGGAAGAAAACATGAGCAGGGGAAAATAATTTTGCTGCTTGATTGCTGGTTTCAAGGTTAAAGTGAAAAGATTAAATCAAAGTACCCATTAATTCTAACTGTTCAATCTAACTCAGTTTGCTAATGCTGCAAAACTACTGGTTCCCTTTTATCTAAAATTGCAAAAGTGTAATTCAAAGCCTGTTCAAAGAGAATAATGAGGTAGCCTGGAAGACCATTGCCTAAAACCCAGTTCCAATTATATGTTATCTGTGTGGACTCCGTTTTTATTAGCTTGCATTTGCCCTCAGGGGCATCACACAAAGGCCAACCATTAATCAGGCTCTGGAGGAGTGCTAAACCCTTTGGACAGGGCTGAGGGCAGGACTCCATCTCTCTCCCCAGGATTTCCTGGAGGGATGAAAGCATGTGTGTCTTTCCCCTGTGCATGTCCTGCACCACTGATCTGCAAATGCATGGCTGCATTCCCCTGGGGGCTGGTCTGCAGCAGGAGCCCTGGCTTGGCTAAAATACTTGCAATCTTATCCCAGGCAAATGATTAACATTGATTTCTTTTTCATCTGAGCAAGGTTTCTGGACAGAAAACAGGATTCAGAGCTGGAGGAAGCAGGAGGGAGGAACTGCTGTACTTCTTGTTGGGTAAATACCCCTTGCTCTTGCCTGCTGGTGGCTGCCTGATAATCTTGTCTGAGTTGTGGTCATATTATGGCTCATGTAGGGGCAGAAGAAGTATGTTAAATCCAAGTAAGTTCATGATACACTGGACAGTTGAGAGCCGCTAATTCTTATTTTGCCCATCAGAAGACCAGTCCCTCCCTCTGCACCTGTGATTTAGTAACAGGTACCGTTTTGCAGTCTCAGATTAGTCTATTTTTGAGTACAAAATTAATTCCTTACATAACGGCTATGAAGTTAATGGATTGATTGATACTGAAGATTACTGAAGATTTGATGTTATTCTGTTAAGCTGTTTTTGCCAAGGAAGAAAAATGTGTCATAAGATGTTTATTTGTATGCTGCAAAGCATAAATGAAAGAGTTGATTGAACTGTTTTTTATTAAGCCAAAAAAAAAAAAAGAAAAAAAAAAAGGATAATAGTAAGTTGGCTGTCGGTACTCTTTTGTATCTTTATTGTCTTTGATTCTTTATGTTCAGTGGACTTTGGATCAGACAGTTGCTAATTCATCTTCAAATCTTTACACAAATGACAACGGCAAGTTCACCATGTGTGCAAATTCCTTTATCTTCTGGGAAAATGTGAAGTTTACATCATAAACCAGAGGCATATGGTAAGTTCTGAGGCCACTTCTGTCACCCCTACAGAAGGATCATTTGTCAACCATGCAGTGTGTTTCCTTTCCAAACTGCCAATATGAGGAAAAGTAGGCTTTTGCGTGGTGCTGTGTGTGATGGCAGGTAGCTGTGGGCAAAGAGTGACTTTTAGCAGACACTTTTCTAAGGAAAGAAATGTCCAAGGTGTTGTCTAGCAGAGAATGATGGCTAAAGGCAAAGGAAAAGGATACTCAAAGATGGAAAAACTGTTACTTTGATGTGCAATGGTAACATACGCCATGTGAGCAAGAAGTTCAAGGTGCCCCTTATTTAAAGTGTTTAGGACATGGAGTGATGCAGGGGTGGAGCACAGAAGGAGACAAAAACCTCTTTGCATGCTCTCTAAGACTTGAAGACAGCTCTTGAAGGAGCCTCTTGCAGAAAGAGATTTTAAGGAAAAGAGCAGAGAAGCAACTGTTGTGTGGATTTGGATGCAGGCAAAGCTTAATGTCCGTGATGAATAAGGGCAACTCCTTTGACAGGTGACATGGAATGATGTGACTGTCCTGTCACCATGCTGAGCTGAAATCTCACATGATCTGGCTGATGTGATCAAATAAATGTTTCTTCCACTTGACTGCAGCTTCTCTGAAAGCATCAAGCCCCAGGCTGTGGGGTGAATGTAGAATTTTGCTCCTTATTATTACAGATTATTATATTTCCTGTGCCAGTCACAGGAGACCTGCCTGAAAAGACATGCATCCCCATGGAGTGGCAGCCAGAACCTGGATCCCAAAGCATCCCTGAAAGGGCTGCATGATGGTAAGTGCTGGGTCAGTCTGAAACACTTCCAAGCCATGACTGTTATTTTTCTCTGCTAAAAGCCATTAAAAAACTCTGAGGAGTAACACAAATAACAGGGATGAAAGCCTGATCTTTGTCAGAGATCCAGGCACTTGGCTGCATTGTAGTTTCAGCAGCGGACATGTGGCTGACTTAAAATCAAGGAGGCAAATATTATAGGAGCACTCAATGCAGCCATGGAAAACAGGGATTTAACCCTTTTTCAGCCTAACCAGTTGCATCTTGGAGTGAACATTGGCCGTGTATTTCATAAAGGAGGAGCTGCTTTTGTTTTTGTTTTAAAAGAACATTCAGATCAGCTGAGTTTGAGCCAATACTGAGAACAGAGCTGCCAAATTTATCACTGACCAGAAGATTTGTATGGGGCTAAAGGAGGTTGGTACAGAGAGATTATCAGCATGCTTTTAGCTTTATATGTTTCTAGAAGCAAATAATTAGCCTCAGAAACAACTGAATCTTAAAATAAGTTCTAAAATATAAATTATTGATGTGAAAATGCTGATAAAAGTTTCAGGAACTGTTATTTTTGCCAGAAGAAATTAATTCCCCAAGGACTTAGTTTCAATCAATATGGTTCCTGTAACTCTGCTACAGAAAGCCAATTTCAAGAAACTCATTTAGTTCCTTATTTCAAATCCTTCCTGCAGCCTGCCTGTAGAAGAGGGGGGAAAAAAAGAAACAGTTCTGATTACAGAAATGGGATCATGCAACTTCTGGAGCTTTGTTATGAAATGGAGAAAATTGCCATTTCTTTTTTCTTTCTTTTTTTCTTTTCTTTCTTTTTTTCTAAATTTTTTTTTTTTTTCCAGAGTGGAGGGGGAGATAAAGTGGTCTGATTGACCTCGTTTGCTGAACTGAGTGACAGGAGCAGCTCCCAGAAGGAACACTGGGCTTATCTCATCCAAGAGAAATTGTCACCTGGGGAAATTAGCATAATCAAGCTGAGAAATGACATTAATTTGTGCTTGTGCCATGTGTGGTCCTGATAACTTTGGAAATTAAGTAACTGCCTATGGTTTGTCAGCAGTATCCAGGTTTCCTTATGTTCTCCATGGCAGCCTGGGTGTCTGATGTCACCTCTTACAGCTTAAACAGTCATGTGGAAAGCATTATAGGATTTTTGGCAACAATGGGGAAAAAGTGGTTGGTTTAAAACTGTTATGTTTACATGTTTTTCAAAACAATGAAGTTTCAAGTAGTTTCCTTATGCCCTATTCCTTTATCTTGCTTTGAAAGCCTCCATTAAAGAAATCATGGACCTCTCAGGAGAGCAGACGTGAGTCTTTTTACATGTTTGAAAACTTACAAAAATTTATTGGAAAAAATAAGCTTAAAATAAAGTATTGTCCCATATGTCAACATAGGCAAAGTGATAAAGGGAAATGACAAATGAAAACTCTTTGTACACTGGTCTAGACATTGGAGAGGATTTTTATGAGACAAAACTTTGTGCTACTGGTACTCTCACAGTGATGAGTGAGAAAGCAGACCTTTCCAGCTAACAAGATAGACTTTTTGGCCAAACTTGAAAACTGCTGCTTTTGTCCAGCCTCCTTCTTTCCTGGGAAAACATCTCCCATGCTGTGTCTCCAGCACTGTTAAATTCTCTTCTGCCTCCCCATTCTGGGTGTCCTCACCTGGTGAAATCCACATTTCCAGCAGAACACAAATCCTCAGGAGGCCAGATCAGAAGGTAAGGCTGTGGTCTGCAGTGTATCTATGCCAGGAGACTATCCCTGACCTTCCTTCCCCTTTGCAAGGAAGAGCAGGCAAAAGGATGGACGTTGTTGCATGGTTAGGACTGGCACATGTGCATGGAAACACTTGTGCCACTGGAGATTCACCACCAAGGCTTTTAATTTCCCATATGGCAGTGTCTCCTGTCTGTCTCTGACAACTGGGTCACTCTTGATGACTTAGGACTTACTGAGTTCTTTCCTAGGTGATTTTAAATCCAGGAATCCAATTATTACCAAGAAATCCAGGTCAATGCAGGAAAAGCAGATTCTCAATAAAATGCAAGTTCACCCCCAACTCCCTCCAAGTCACTTGATGAATAAGAAGCTGCATTTTTTTCACAAGGATGTCCTGATTGCTCTCTACTCCAGGCCATTGTGACACTGCTTCAGGGAAGGTGACAGTGCCATGCCTGGTCGGAGATGAGGGAGGAACAAAAGCATCCAGCCCAGTTCAGGGTGACCACTGGCCTGTCCAGACAGTGGCTTTGGCGAGGGTGTGATGCCTGTTTGGATAGCATGAGCACCCTGAAGTGAGGGATGTCATTGCTGTTCAGAATGAAAATAAACTTGCATTTCTTCCTCATGGCAAAGGTGTTTGTGAACCTATAACCTGTGCTTGAGTTGGGGGGATGAGTGGAAAGAAAGAAAAGACACAAATGGGGCATTTGGCATGTGCCAAATATATGAGCTATTCTAAAAGTATGATGTGTCATGGGCTCATTACTCATCAATGCTTCATCACACTGAGTTTATGGTGGCCTTAAAACTGGAGAAAAAAAAAGACGTCATTGACATGAAATGCTGGAGACACTCTCCACCCTTTGATTCCTTCAGTAAGCTGGAAGGAGGTTTGTGTACGCATGAGAAAGTGTGCTATACAATGCCAGCCTTTATTATCTTCTTGAATTACTCATACTGTGCAGTATGTAGCAAAAAAAGAAAAAAAAAAGGAAAAGAGATAAAAAAAAAGGAAAAATGTTTGGGGCCTATTTTTCTGTTAAGAAATAACTGTGAAACACTGGAGTCAAGCTACAATGTGAACGAAGGCACTGATGGCTTCTGGAGTTTATTTTTCAAGTGGCTTTTGAATGCTGGTATCTCTCTGTGCTTCATACTGCAGTTGCTAATTTCCTCTGCACACAGGGCAACCCAAATTCCTTCTACAGCCCCCTAAGTCCTGACCTCAACAAAGGAGTGACTGTTGTCCCACTGCACGAGGTTCTGCAGGCTGTTAAACCTTGGAGCTGTTAAGCCATGCACCAGGCTGGCACTGCGGCAGGGGCTGGAAATTTGGGATCGTCAGTGCAAGGGATTTGGGCAAGGTTGAGAGCTCTGCATGAGCTCTGTAAGGCAGCTGTCCAACAGAGGACTTGTGAGTTCAAGAGCTGGCCTCCTTCCCCAGGGTTGTGGGGTTTTTTGAACCTTCTGGGTCTTTTCTTATGACAAAAAGGGGCATGATTTAAAATCCAAGCCATGGCACAGAGCAAGGAGGGGTATGGCAGGTGGAGGTCACTGGCCTTGGAATGGGGCAGTGCTGCCTCAGAGCGCAGGGAACACAGCCAGAGAGGGGCAGGAGACTCCCAGAAGGACATGGGAGACAGAGCAGGGGTGCAGGGCTGCGCATTTACATCTTGTGCTGATGTCCACCCTGAGGAATTCACATGGGTGTGTTCTCATTCTCTGGCCATCAGCTAAGGTTTAAGATTATTTGATTTCTCATTTTGGAGGCTCTTTAGTTTTTTTTCAAAGTTAATTTCCTAATTTAGGCAATGCATCAACATTTTCCCCTTTCTTTTCCCCATTTTTTGCTAAGAGGGGAGAGTCAACTTTTACTACCTATGGCATTATTCAAGGTTTCTTCAAGCCCAACATAACAAAATAGATTGGACTGGCTCCAGAAGAGTTTGTTTATTATTACCTTGTAAACAGGATGTACCTTTAAGTTACAATTTAAATATGATAAATGGGCCAAACCCGAAGAGTTTTATTATCCCAGGACACATTATTACCAACTTAACAGGAAACACCTGCAAGTTATTGTTAAAATTAGAGATTGCTGAAATGAGAAATAATTTTTGTGGAACAAAAAAAATAGAATTATTGGAGTTATTGCATTCTAAAAGGCTCAAACATATCCATTTGGGCAAAATTTTATGCATTGTTTTTATTGAAATCATGTCTTAATATTCTCATTGGCGGACAACCATTACAATTTTCCACTGAGAACTAGTATTTAGATAAAGGAAGGGTATTAAAAGGATATTTGAAGCCATGTAAATTTAAAGCCTCATTGAAACAGTGATCAGAGGCTGGGATTCATTGAGGAGAGCAGTCTCAGCAGTGGGAGGCATGAAGGTCACTGGAGAAGATTTTAGGACAGCCACAGAGTGTTGGTGAAAGGTGAAGAAGTGTCTGTTAGCAGTGTGGTCCCTATCTGAGAGGGCTTTCCCAGTAACTCAATATTGATGTGTTTGTTGGTTTGTAGTTGTTGTTTTTTTTAAGGGCTTAATTTCAAAAAGTTCTAGAAAACCATTTGAAGGTTTTTACTTTATGGCATTGAAACTTGTTGTTTTACCGGATGTCCTTCTGCTGATGTCATAAGAGATAAAAAAGATGATTTTATACTAAAAATCAGAAAGGGAAAAAAAGATTTATTATTCTGTCCTACAGATTAAATGATCTACTGGATGATATGTTTTAAATGCTGCTGCTACACTAATGTGCCATTGTCAGATGTACAGCCACAAATCTGCATGTGTTTCAAATGACACTGTTAGGCTAAACCTTGCAGGGATGTCATGAAACCCTTTATTAAAGTTTTCCAATTTTTGAAACAAGGTTGCATTAGATTATGGGACAATTACTAAATTAATTAGCATGGAAAATGCATAATGATGTGTTATTGAACAGACCATTAACCTGAATAGATTATTGTAGGGGAAAATGGTTTATTCTGGCTTTTTAGCAGTACAGTTTTTAGTGCTGCAAATTTTTTAATTTAATGATTTTTTTCAGGAGGAAAATGGGCATTGTTGGTGAGCTGTTTCATGAAAAACTTTTAAAATTATGGAATATGTCTTTAAGAGATAATTTTGAGAATCTGTGAGTCTCAGGAGACTTCAACAGGCCTGGATCACTTAAATATGGGAATGGGGTCACCAAGTCAGGAGGAGGCTTTAGAAATGTTACCTGACACATACTGTCTACTCAGTCTTCCCAGACCAGATTAGGAAGAGTGACTTTTGTAAATGCAGTTTTCATGTAAAATATACTACACTAATTTAAAGCACATTTCTCCTTTTTGCAACACAAACACAAAGACAGAGACCAAAATACCAAGCAAACTGGAAATTGTGGTAAACAAAAAATGAAATTGAGTTATCGCCATCCTTTGCTCCTTGATGTGTTTAACTTGTCATTTCCCTTCAAATTCAGATTTGCCTTCTAAATGTGGGAAGGTGAAATGTTTTATTATTCAGCCTTATTATATTATAATTATTGGCTTTTTACTTTTGCTACAGTGGTGTGGTGAATAAGAGAAATGACTGCAACACATGCTGCTTCTCTTTCCCCTGGTTCCATCAGACTTTCCCATTGTGCATGCACAAGGCAGAGAGGACACGACTGAGTAATCAAAATGAGTCACTTTCCTATCTTTGATGAAATAACTCTGTTCAGCACCCCCTCTGCCAAGTAACAGGCAATTATTGAGAGCAGGTAATTGCCCTGCTAACACACGCCAGGGCTCAGATAAGAACCAAGCTGTGTACATGCAGAATATTAACAAATTCTCCAAGCCTTGACTCTGCAGAATAAGATTAATAATTTTCATCCAAGATACTATGCTCTAATTAACCAGTGCATGGTACTTCACACTAAATACAGGGCTTGAATAGAACTTTGGGAATGGGATAATGGAGGCTTATTAGGTTAATAAAGGATCATGTGTTCCAAGGCTGACTTAAAAACACAATTAGACTTCCTTTAAAATAGGCCAAAGTATTTCAGATTTAATCAGTGCCCTGGAGGTTATTGAAATTATGAAATAGGTTTGGCAATTGATAAGTGGCATCACTTTTGCAATTCAGAAAATGAAAATCCTCTAAAGAAACACCAGGAACTTTGGTGGCTAAAAGCCACCTGAAAACAGACTCAAAGATTGGATGCTTTTTGTTAAGCATCCAATTGGGGTGACCCAATTGTAGCCTTCCTGCATGAAGCGAGCCTATGAAAAAAAAATGGAGAGACACTCTTGACAAGGGCCTGGGATGACAGGACAAGGGATAATGGCTTCACACTGACAGAGAGCAGCTTTAGCTTGGATATTAGGAAGAAATTCTTCCCTATGAGGGTGCTGAGGCTCTGGCACAAGGTGCCCAGAGAATCTCTGGAAGTGGCCAAGGCCAGGTTGGATGGAGCTTGGAGCAACCTGGGATAGTGGAAGATGTCTGCCCATGGCAGGGGGTGAGATGGGATGGGCTTTAAGGTCCCTGCCAACCCAAACCCTTCTATGATTCTACAACTCCTGTATGGACACACACTCTCGGAGCGTGCAATCTCATAGAATTGTGGCAGTTTATTCTCTGTTTTTCTCAGCAATTTTCTCTCAACAACTGCTCTCAGCAACTTGAAACAGTCTGACAATTGACAATGTTGTCTGAATCCTTCCTCCAGTCTCCTGTTGTAAATGTATTACACAGTATAACACAGTAGCACACACAACATTAGCTGCATTTCCCATTCCTACCTCTATGAGGGTTTATATATATATATATATATACATATATATATATATATATATATATATATATATATATTTTTTTTTTTTTTAAGGGGGTGATTTTTCTTACATATACAACCACCTGAAATGTAGTTTTTCTGCCAGGAATCTGTGCCATTATTCCTGCTTTTTATCAATTTAAATTTTTCTTAGCTGATTACGTAGTAACTGATGAACCAAACACCCCAGGGCCTGATCATTAGGCAAAAGTCCTCACCCTAAATCAAAGGGACTTTCAGCCTAAAGGGTGGGACTGTCTGTCATGAATATTGAAAAACATCATCAAAATAGATCACGCCATCATGTATGTGTAATCAGAGTAGCCAAATGTGTTTTAACCTTTTTAGTGGAAATAATATTTAAAATACCAGAAGGGTGGGAACACATCTGAGGAAAGAGTCTGCAAGTAAAATTTAGCTCATATGACTGGTTTGGTACATTAACAGGGGATTGTTTCCAGGACTGGCACTGGCAGAATTTAATCTTTCCTTTGTAAATCTTCTCAGATTAATTTGAATTTTCTCACATTTTAAAAAATCAAATATTCACCTAACTTTTTAAAGTTTTTCTCCACTCACCACCCATCTTCCTCCATCTTTGCTGAAAGATTTTGACCCATATTTCTTATGGGTCAACTCTAGTTGACCCATAAGAAATACATGAAAGACTGTAACTTTCAATAGCTGCAAAAAATATTTTATAACACTTCAGCCTGTCAGAGCACA